CCCCACAGCTCTTCTTCACCCCACTCTGGAGCCCACACTCCAGTCAAATTATGGCAGGTCGCGGCATCAACAATTTTCCTCAACTGGGTCATGAGAAAAAAAGTTTGAAAACTGCTGGTCTGTGGTATACAACAGAATGAGTTTGATGTTGCACCCCCAGTGTGGACTGGTACTCTTCCCACACACTCCACCCTCAGCCATCGAAAGATGAAGAGGCAGGAGCGTCAAATTCTGCTCTTGGTGACCACATGAGCCTAAGCCTGCTTGTGACAAGATCTGCCAATTTCCCAAGCAATGAGACCATGTGATTCATTCACACCAGGCTGGGAGGGGATTGATAAGGGAGGAAAGGACACCCCTTTGGGAAAGGGAGCTGAACTTCACCTCAGCAGGGCTGGAAGTGCCACATGGGACAGAAGCCAGTCGTGGGGGGGAACCAAGAAGAGAGGACAGTTGGTGAACTCCAAAGGGAAGAGAAATCCTCAAGGAGGAGCAGCTGTGCCCAGCTTGGCAGTGGGGTGGAAATGCTATTGCTTAGGTTCTGTTTCTGGAAGATTCTGGGGACGTTTTGGTTAAGTGGACCCCAGCCAGGGGAACATTATGGCTACGTCTAGACTGCCCCTCTTGTGCAAGAGAATATGTAAATGAGACAAAGCAGTGAATATCGCCACGCCTCATTTGCATACTTAATGAGCTGCCATTTTTGCGCAAGGGGCTTTTGTGCCAAAAGAAGCTGTCTACATGGCTCCTTTATGCGCAAAACCCCCTCTTGTGCAAGAGCCGTTCTGCCTAAAAAAAAGCGGCAAAGTGGCTCTTGCGCAAGAGGGGGGTTTTGCAGAAAAATGGCGGCTCATTAAGTATGCAAATGAGGCATGGCGATATTCACCGCTTTGCCTCATTTGCATAGTCTCTTGCACAAGAGGGGGCAGTCTAGACGTAGCCTTTAAGTATGTGGCCTCTGAAGGCTGCTTTTAAGGAGCTCTGAGCAGAAGGGGAAACTGAGGCAGGATCTGCAGCCATTCCCCAGGCTGCGAGGGCATGCTTAGGCGGGAGCTGACCCTGTGACCGTGGCATTCATGCAGTTTCTTTGGAGCCAATGGCGATGCTACGTGGGTGTAAGTATTGGTTTTCTATTGCTGGGGGAGAGAAAATGAAGGTAAATACAGTGTTTCCATCTCGGCTGTTGGTACATTTAAGGCTAGTTGGCGAGGCTGCCTGATATGGGTTTAGTTTATTAAATCCATGGGCGGCAGGTAATGTAGGCAAGGGAAGGCATTGCCTTCCCAAAACTGCCCATGCTCCCGGCAGCCCAGGAGGGCTGGGATCATGGTACGGCAGCTTGGCTCCCTGCCCTCCCAGGCAGGCTGTGGCTGTGGCACAGTAGCCCCGTGTCTCCAGTTGGCCAGGAAGGATTGGGCTTCAGGGCTGGGGTAGGGCAGGACTTGTCTCCCAGGGGGAGGGAAGAGCTGCAGGGGTGGGGTCTTGGGCAGATGGGGTGGGGCCTCCGACAGAAAGGGCGGGGCTGAAACTTGCCTGCCCTAGCTGGGCCTTCACCCGCTACCCGTGATTAAATCAGAAAAAGATTCATTTTCTGAAGAGGGTGGATTTTGCTTGTGTCTTTTATTTTTGCCTTTTCAATGCTCTCCCCATGGCTTGCCTTAATCTGTGAGCTTTAAAGATGACACTTCATCCTGGCTGAAGACGGCCCAGGCAGCTTTCGAGCTGGAGTAATTATGCTGTTTGATCTGAACTAATGATACCGGGAAATTAAATTCTCCCCCTCCTCCCCATTCCCTCTTCCATGTGGGATTACTGGCAGAGAGCCTGGCAGAGCATCGAGAGCAACTGCTCAGAGCTCAGCTTTGCATTTCGGAGGGCGGCGGAGGCACCGCACAACCGGAGGTCTGGGCTGTGAAGCTCAAATAGGGTAGGAAGTTGGAAAGGAAACAACTTGAGGCTTTGCCTTCGAAATCCTTAGTGAAAAGGCTGGGACGAGACTTTGCTATCAGTGACCAGACTTAAAGAGACAGCCGCCTCGCCAGTCTGTTTCCTCCTATAAAATGCTGCCCTTAAAACCGTGCCCTGGGATCAGGTGGGAGAGACAAAGGAGAGGCATTTCCTATTCTGCGGGTCCCACCTACAGCATTGGGGGACCATCAAGGTACCTCAGGAATAGGAAAGAGTTGCATTTAGTGCATAGGCGGCAGAGCCGGTCTTAGGGGCAGGCAAACCGGGTGGTTGCCCAGGGATGCCAACAGAGCCGGTTTTAGGGGCGGGCCGCAACTGTGTTTCAGCCTGACTGAATCCTCCTCCCAGGTTTCCCTGGTTACTCCCTGACCCCTTTTTTGTTTGTTTTTTCCTGACAAATTTTTGTCTGTTTTTTTTTAAACCATCTGGCAACCCTACGGGCAAGCTGGGTAGTCGCCTGGGGCCACCAATTGGTTAGGACCGGCCCTAATAGGGGGCCTGGGGTAGGAGGAGGCGGGAGGAGTTCAGGAGTCAGGGCTGAAGGGTGTGTGGCTTAGGGCTGCGGGGCAAGGGCGCTATTTCATGGGGGAAGTGGGGGCTACAGCCAAACACACCAGGTTGTTATAAACAAATTTTAAAAAGCCGACCTGCATGCTAAAAAGTTTACCAGAGTTCCTCTCCACGCTACATAGGCTCTTGCAGGAGCAGTCTTTCAACCCGCCCACCCCGCGAGGTGTTTCCCTATGGTTACAAGTTCCTAGAATTATAAAAGAGAGGACTGGGGGAAACCCCAGTCGGTCACCTCGACTAGTCCACAGACAGGAGTAAACACTATCCGGGCCATTCCATTTCATCCCAGCTTCAGCTCAGAACAAGCACCCCTATGACAAATGTTGCCCACTCTCTCTATACCAGTGGTTCCCAAACTTTTGGGCATCATGCCCCCCTTTTTGATTTTTGAAAAACCCTCACGCCCCCCTTCCAAATAGCAGCAAACTTGTTGAGCAAAAAAACCCCGAGCCGGAAAAAAGCGGCAGCCATGTAAATGCAAATGCCGCGGGGGATATTTAAATCCCCCGCAGCATTTGCAATTCCGAAGTGTCTCATTAGCATCCCTTTTCCGGAAAAGGGTGCCAATGTAGACGTAGCCAATGGGTCACACCTTCCAGGCCATAGTTTGGGAGAGGAGAACTTGCATTCCTTTCACCTCAAGGTATTTCCTCGGAAATCCACTTCTTCCCAAAAGACCTTAAAAGTTCCTCCTCCCCTCTAGGGGTTGCATGAATCTAATCATCCTGCAATCCACTTCTTCCCAAAAGACCTTAAAAGTTCCTCCTGCCCTACAGGGGTTGCGTGAATCTTATCTTCCTGTTAAAGAAGTTCCCTTCAATCGCGGGATAATGATATTTGCATTTCTAGTACAACGTGCCCCAAAGGTATAGCCGTAATTCAATCAGGTTTAACTTTTATTGACTGACAATATCCTGAATGGAGTTAAATCTGTCATAATGCTAACAGCCAACATCCTGGGTCTTTTGACACTCCATCAATAGGTATCAAAGCACATTGCAAAGGAGGTAAGCATCGTTCTCCCCACTTTTCAGGTGGGGGAAACCGAGGCACAGAGGTGAAGCAACTTACTCGGGGTCCCTTGGCAGAGTCAAGAACAGAACCCCAGTATCTTGAATCCTAGAATGAGCTTCTAGGCCACGTTACTGAGCTTGACGTGTCCCAGGTTTTGTGGAAAGTTCCACATTTGAACTGAATCCTGCATGCAAGTGACTGGCTGGACGAGTGTCCTGGTGTCACGGCAAAGATTGGCTGACCTGGGATGATCACTCCTGGTTGTATAAGAAAGTTACAAGAAATTTATAAGAAAGATCTAAAGTCTGAGATTTCGTCTAAAATATAGTGGGCCATCAATCTAAGTCACACAACTTCAGTTGCGGGAATAATGTAGCTGAAGTCAACGTATTTAGATCTACTTCTCTAAGGCCAAGTCTACACTGGACCAGGCAGCTCAGGTTAACATACACAACTCCAGCTACACAGAATACATAGCTGGAGTCAGCTTACTGTAAGCCAAGCTTGGTGGCGTCCCCACTGCAGGAGGCTGACAGGAGCTGATAGGAGGCTGGCAAGAGCAGGAGTACCTGGTACCCTCTGAGTTCGATTTAGCGAATCTTAACTAGACTCACTAAATTGAACTCCGGAAGATCAGTCGTGGGAGCGGCAATCTTCCATGGAGTATAGATGTGGCCTCAGTGTCTTTCCTGCAGTAAGTCGACAACTAACAGCATTTGCCTCCCCCTGCCGTTCTTGGTCTGGTGGGAGTACTGGGATCCACAGGAGAGTGCTTGGCGATCGATTTATCGTGTCTATACTAGACATGATAAAACCGATTTATCGTGTCTATGCTAGACATGATAAAACGACCCCTGTTGGATCGATTGCTGCCTGTGGATCTGGTGAGTAGTGAAGACATGCCGTAAGTTACTATCCAGTGTCATTGGCACTCCTGTTTGACATTAGCTCCTAGTATGTTATAGGAAGACCCCCTACTGGGTCCTGAGATGCCCTGGCTAACATGGGACTTTCCCTGCTGTCCTGTATGCATCCAACTGTTCCCATTCAATCACATACTCCTAATGAAGGAACTTCCACGGTGTCAGTCTTCAGTTTAATTCTGTTGCGTCCCTGGGATGCCTCATCATGCCTGACTCTCATCTAAGGCATTTGAAATGTGCTTTGTGGAAAGAAAATTGCATTGGGGAAGCTGCTGATGCAGTTCCTTTAGCATTTTGGGCTGTATTCCTGCAGATCTGTGGTTATTACAGCCCATCTCTCTCTGTTTAGAGCAAGGAAGATTTCTCAAGGTGCTGTTTAAGACTTTCTGGTTCGGGCTGGCAAATTGTTAATCAGTCCGTGACAGCATAAATAAAATTAAAGGGTTTAATTAAAACTAATGAATGAGTGAATGGAGAATACACAGCCTGTGCCATGTGCAGAGCCCTGGTGCTGTGAATAATTAAAATGTCACAAAGTAGGAGACATCTTAGCAGAAGTGCCAGAGCTGCAAAAGCAGAGGCCCCTGAACTTCTGCAGTTTGGTTCACAAAAAAAAAAAACCTTGATTCTAAAACAAAAGAAGACACCACTCCTCAGCATGATAGGATAGAGGTCTATAAACTCCTGGTTAGTATCGAGAAAGCACATAAGGAAGTATTATTTACTCTTTTCATACCGCCGGAGCTAGAGGTCACCACATGAAATGAATAGGCAGCATGTTTAAAACAAGCAAAAGGAAGTTTTTCTTCACGCAGTGCACAGTCAACCTGTGGAACTCCTTGCCAGAGGATATTGTGAATTATAAGAGAGTTTAAAAAAGAGCTAGATAAGTTCATGGAGGACGGGATGGGCAGAAATGCTGTCCCTAGCCTCTGTTTGCCAGACGCTAGAAATGGATGACAGGAGAGGGATCACTTGCTTCCCTGTTCTGTTCATTCTCTCTGGGGCAGCTGACATTGACCACTGTCAGAAGACAGGACACTGGGATAGATGCAGTGGCGGCGAGTTATATGAGCCTATGGTGCCTGGACTCCAAGAATGTTTTTGGCCCAGGGACCTGACTCCAGCAAAGTTCAAGGCTGGGTCTCTCTCCCAACCTCTTCTACCACTCCTGGGTGATTTAAAACATCCCTTCCCTCCCCCTGGGCACTTCAGCAGGGTTGGCAGTGTGGGAAGTGAGGTGGGTGCTGCCCGCCCGTGGCTGCTTGCCGGGGGGCTTGCTGCCCCCCTGTGGTCATTTTTCTCCCTGTGCTTGCTGCCCTTTAACGGTCTTAGAAAAATCGATATGGAAATATAAGTGGCCGTTGCTAAGAACAGCACTCGTCTCAAGGGATTCTAGTGTGCTGGAATAAAATTGTCCTTCTTTTGTGACTATTTCCATCTGTTAGTGCTATGCAAAATAATAGTTAAAAATACGAAATGGACCTAAAACATTCGTCCAATGCCTGATGCTTGGGTATTTGGGGTAGAGCTGCCTGAAAAATTTCTAGCACGATGTCTCCAATGGAAAATGAACTTTTTGAAGAAAGTTCCACTTCCTGTTTCCACTTCTTGTTAGCATTTTTTGGGGGGGCAACCCCCTCCAATGTTGACGGGGTTCCACTTCCTGTTTCCACTTCTTGTTAACATTTTGGGGGGGGGCAACCCCCTCCAATGTTGAAGGAAAAAAACCATTTTTTAAAATTGAAATTTCCCTTCCAGTGCCAATTTTGAGCCTATTTGATGGGCTGTGATTGTGCGTATAGGAAGCTGTGGGCTGTTTCATCAAATGCCCTTGATTAGCACCCATCAAGAATTTCCCAAGGTGGCCAAGAATTTCTGGCTCGCCCTCAAACAAAGAGACTTTAGTTATCCAGGAAAAAACCCAATCAATTAGAGCTAATTAGTTAGGGTAATTTCTCACATAAATTATGCCAATGTATGTGACTTCTTGGACTTTAATTGATACACTCATAATTAACTAATTAAAAACCGAGTACAAATGGGAAAGTCTATTCTGATTCACGGCTTTGTGTTTGCTTTCAATTAAAGAGTTCAGAACTCAGTTCCAATAAACTCACCCTGCTCCCAGTTACATCAGTGAAAATGGGGAGTGACTCTCGTGTTGTCACTCGAATTCGTTACAATGGACATGTTTACACAGGAGCAAAATTGGCCCTTTCTCTTCAGAGTGAATCCCATGTGATAACAGATCCCTTGATTTCCTGTTCAGTCTGGGCAAAGCGCCCATAGCTTTACTAGTGCACCTTTGAATCCGTCTTGGTCCGTTCGCATTGAAGTCCATGAGCTTCCCTGGGCTTCACTTGAGCAAGACTAGGCCCTATATTTGTTTAAAAATGGGCCCATTTTCACAGAGGTTCTTAGTGCGGCAAACAGCGATAGAGAATTATGGCTGGAAAGATTAAGCATCTCTGGGCACGTAACTAAGCTGAGGTAACACTTCAGAGGCTGATAAAATATCCCAAATTCTAGGAGCCACCTAACTATGGAGAGAGAAAGCTGATTTTCCATTCTGAGTGAACTGGGGTCTGGACTGCAAGGAGAAGGCATTGAGGTGGCTTGGAGCTTGGCCAAGTAATAGGTACATTGAGGTGAGTGAGAGAGACCAGGCCGCAGCCGAGAGACGGTAGAAAGGACAACTAGACTGAGGGGAACTGACTGAGGTGTGGACTGCTGAGGGACAAGCCCCGAATAAGACCTGCCCCTGCCACCAATGATCGACCCAGAAGTGCAGCATTAGCTGGTAACTGTACGAGGCCCTGTATAGCCTAACAGAAGGGGCTGTGGCGCTTTCCTCAGAAGCAGACTGTGGAGGTTCCATGTCCTCCTATCCCCAATGACTGCTGAGAGCTGGACAACTGTGGCGCTTTCCTCAGAAGCAGACTGTGGAGGTGCCATGTCCTCCCATCCCCAAGGACAGAGCACAGCCCCTCCGTGCCCTGGCTCTGAATGGCCCACACTTCATCTCAGTGGTCCCCTAGACACTGTGAAGCTATAAAGCCCAGACCCATGATGGACAGTCACTTAAGATGACAAAAGGCTGCGCCCATGTGACACAATGGAGATACTTATGTACCACGTGAACTCTGCAGACTTTGTTCGTGGCCCCAAGTCACCTGTGTTACTCCAGTTCTATGCCGTTTGCACCAATTAAAGATTGGCACAACGCATGAGTGAACCAAGCCTGCTCACAAATAGGACCAGTAGCTAAGGCCAGGTCTATACCAGACCTGGAAGGTCGGCTTAAGGTACGTGACTCCAGCTGTGTAAATCATATAGCTGGAGTCGACGTACCGTAAGCCGAGTTTGGCGCTCTCTCCACAGTAGGAGGTTGATGGGAGCAAACACTCCCATCAACTCCCCTTACTCCTCATGAATCGAGGGACGCTGACTGGGAGTGCCCTCAGTGTTCAATTTAGTGGGTCCTTACTAGACCTGCTAAATCAAATGCCAGAAGATGGATCTCTGGCGCGGTAAGTATAGATGTGGCCTGATTGTGTCAGAAAGAGGGCGAGGAAAGAGAACGGCATTAGCAGAAATGGAACAATATAGTTTTCTCCCAGCCCAACAAGCCAGAAATAGGGCAGGCAGACAATCACACCACGGCAAAACCACAAACCTCAGCAAGTACAGAAAGTGGAAGCAATTTTAGAGCGCGCGTGGCAGAGCAAATTTCCTGCACAACAGGTCTACGCAAGCCCAGACGGCTGCTTTTTACACAAATGGTTATAAACAAAAGCTCAAATTTTGTCAAAGCCGCGGCGGAATCTTAGCATATTGGCCCCTTGGTGTCATTTGAAGAAAATTAATGCAGGGGGGCCAAAGAGACAGAGTCTGCAATTTGTAAATGCTCAGGAGAGCTGCCTGAGATTTTGTTCATAGTGTAGCAAAAAATAAAGTGCTCTTGGCAAGTGGTAAGGGAGAAATAATGACATGTGCACAAGTAAGATTAATCAGTAACGCCAGAGTCTATCTCATGAGTCATCTTTGACATCATAAAGCCTGAAATAGACAAAGATGTTGCATGTCAAATTTGAGCTACTTTAGGAAAAGGAGAAATTCTGTCTGCCCACACCTCCATGCAAAGCACACAGCAGTCTTTGAAACTGCCACAGAAAGAGA